ATTAAGCAACAACAATTTTTTCTTTATTTCCTAGAGGAAAACAAATCTCTGCCTTCTTTTTATTGCCGTGAAAAATGGAGGAAAAGTGAGGCTGAGTTTTGGGTTGGGAACGAATCCCTTACTAGTGCTGCCCTCCTTTGTTTCTTTAAACCTGCTTCTTCTCCTACATGCTTTCTAGATAACATCTTGATTTTTTTTCTGGTTTCATGTTTTTATCTAGACATAATATTGTGTAATTACGTCAATTTCCCTTTGCAGCTAATGTAGTTGTGCTCCTAGTCTCCTTTGTTGCTGTCTCCAGGGAAGGAAAAAAGCAGCTCTATGTAAGGAACTTCGTTCTGCTGCTGACTAGTCCTGCTGATACTTACAGGTTTTCTTATTTATTTATTTTCTGCTGTATGTAAAACATACTGGAATGGGAATATGGGTCAGAAGTAGCTTTATGAGAGTGGTGAAGTTTGGCAGTTACCCTCTTTGTGGGGATGGAGGCCTGTGCGAGGTGAATCCAAGGCACTCGTGGAAGGCTGTTGATAGCCAAACATGGTGGCAGAGGCACTTGTAAACAAGGTGGGACTGCTGAGTGCAAACTGAAAGAAATGTGACCTGGAAAAGTGGCTCCCTACTTGTTTCCTCCCGCATACATTGCCAGCAGATGCTGGTGCTCTTGGCTTGGGAGGTTTGGATGCAGTCCTGGCAATTAGGACGTGTCTGATCTCTCCAGAGAAGATGGGTGAAGATGCCTGCATTGTTTTGCTCATTTGTTTGCCGTTTGCAACACAGTTCTGCGTGTTTGGAGCCTCTGTCCTGGTGTTCTTGGTTACTGTGTTGAAAACAAACTGTCCTAACTAAGGACTAAATAATTGGTAGCAAATAAATGTCAGGTAAGGCATTTTATGTGTGTGCGTATGCATGCATGAGCGTTTCCTAGAAGTCTGGTGGAAGATTTAGAGAGTATTTCAGATGACTCTGCTGGTGTTTTCTCAGGGTCCCAGTAAAATGTTAGTGTCTCGTTAAAATGGCAGGCACTGGCTATTGTGTCAGCCCATTGCTGTGCTGCTGTCACTTCATCTTTTATTTCTAATGAGCGCTAGCTCTGAAGAGCACGAGTTGGCTGGCTTTACATATAGGGCAGTATTTCTCCACTCTGAGCCCTGTGTGTGCTTCTGAGGGAAAGCTTGTAAATGTCTGCTGTTTTGCTTTTGTGCCATTTTTATAGATGGAAACTTGTACACAAGTTTTGTCTAGCCTAGGAGATTCTCTTGAGACTTTTGAATGAATGCTTATGGCAGTGATAGTCAAATATCTGAAAAGATCATTAAATGTAGGAAGACGTGAAGTTTTATCAATGTGACTGGGATAACCAGAGCTTCGACAAAGCTGACTTTTACTTAAGGTTCAACATTTGTCTGTTCGGTTGCAAGTGTTTGTGTTTCCTGCCACTCCTGCATTGAGCCTAGAAGACAAGGTACAGCAAAACATTGTTGCAAAGGTCCTTGGGATGCCAATGGAGGAGCTGGTTTATTATTAGCCCAGACATGCATTACGTAATGCAATGTTAAAAAAAAAAAAATAATAATTGCTGACATAAATCATCAAAAAATTTTTGGAAAAATCAAACCAGTGCAGAGGCTGTGCTCAGCGTATTTCAAAACCTCGTTCTGATCTGATGTTAAGGGCTGTAGTATGCAGTGGGACTGAAACTTATATAATTGAGTGCAGGAGACTTTGGTCTTTCCTTCTGGATGCAGTGCTGATATGAGAACGTTATGCTGTTGTCTGTTGCGGCAGGAAACCTGGGGAAGGGAATAGTTGGGTGTTTTTGTGCTGAGCTTGTATAAATCTATGTTCGTGTCCCAGGCTATCTTGGCTGATATTGGTAAAATATGTATGTGGAGCCACTGTCAGTGCTTGACTTGACTGCATGTTTCTTTTTGAAGCCGGTATAAAGATTTAAGATACTTGTTCCTTAGCTTTTCAAAACTGTCTCTTCCTCACCAAAACATTGGGAACTGACCAGGTGAGCGTTTGTAGTTACTGTGTTTTGAACAGATTTTCCCATTTCATCCTTAGTTGTGATTTAAATGAATGTGTTTTATTTGGGACTGAAGTGGAAGAGGAAACAGCCTTATGATCAGACAAGGTGTCTAAAGAACTGCAATGTTTTAATCTGCTGCTTCTCTTTTCAAGTGAATGTGAAATTACGCCTGTATTTTTTGATTGTTGACATAGATTACTTGCTTTATTTTAGGCACTTTTCTAAAAATAAACAAATGTAAGAAAACAACAAAAACCACAAATCATACTTGTGAAAGGAACAGACTTATTTAACCCCCCAGGGCATGCTTTGCGTTAAAGCTCGAACACAGATGAGGCGAGTTGCAGCGAGGTCTCTGAAGGTGGAGGAGTGTGTTCTGTAGGTACAGGGAGCAAGTTTCAGTTCAAAGGAGCTAATCCGGGAACAAGATGTGCAAGTGTTTTTCAAGATGGGGCAGTGACGTTCTTTGAAATGACGCGTCATTTATACAAGGCAGCTCAGGACTCGCAGGGCCTATTAGCTTGCACTTGATGCTGGAGAAATTGAATTATCCTGATTCTACAGCCAGTATAGATTGGCAAGCACCACGCATCAGTTGGGGGTAATAATTCCTCTCAGAAGATGAGATAGCAGGATGGATGAAGAGAGCTCTGACCTAGCACTTGAAGTGTGTTTATTATTTGCATATCTTCAGCCCTCCTTTTGTTTCCTGCTGCCTCATCACAACTTCATATTATGGAACTTTAAAAAAAAAAAAAAAAAATTGTTTCACTTTTGCCAGGCCTCTGAAAACTTTTTGAGCCTAAAATACGGTACATAAACTTCCCAAGTAACAACGAGAAAAAGAACTTCAGTGGCTTCTTTCATAATGGAGCAGAAATTAGTTTTCAGGAGAATTTTTCTGACCAATATTGTGATTTTTTTATTGGCTTTTAATGGAGATGGGCTTTATGAGCTGTTTTTATTGGGCTGTGATTGTCATTTAAATGACAAGGCCTAAGTAAATGACTGAATATTTAGTGTCAGAAAGTGGAATAGAAGGGATCAAAGCATCCAGTTATCCAGAAGCCAAACACTACTTTGTCCATTCTTTCACTAAAACCTATACCAAGTGTCTTTTTATTTTCTTTCTTTAGTTGATCACCAAACCTCAGTTAAAAATTCTCCCCCCAAAAATGCAGAATTCATTTTTTTGTTTAATATTTACTTTATCTGTAATTTATTTCAATTACTTTGTTATTGTGTAGTTCCAGAAAATTCTGTAAACCTGTCCCTGATGTAGGATTGAGCTGTGTCAGTTTTCAAGAATTGCCCTCACATGAGCTTTGAATTTTTTAAAGGTCTCTGTAGCTGTTTGGATCAATCTCAGTTTCATCTATAAAATTTTGAAGTTTTTGATAGAGTACACAGTGTGCACCTAGACTTTTTTTTAATCACTCCTATGTAATCTCAATTGTCTTAATGATTTTTTTCTGTTGTTCAGGAAAAAAGTTTGAAGAGGCATTTTTTTAATGCTGGAAAAGTGCGTATACTTGGAAACTAGCAGATACTGCTCATAAAATAGAAATGTTTTATACTATCTTAAACATTTTTTCAGTTGAAGCAATGGAGTGTGATTTCATATGTTAATAATTAAAACTGCATTCATTTGTTACCGAAATATGGATTTGACACAGTGGTGATTAGATGTGACCATAATGATTGTAGTTAGATTTATTCTTGTTTGGTTTAGACTTTTGGAAAGTTAAACACGGTGATGCTGTCTTTTGATCTCTGAAGTTCCTAGAGCTCCAGAAAGTCTTATTTTTACTACTGTTTGATACTTTTTTTTTGTCTAGCTAATGGAAACAATTTCATTTATCCTGATTTAATTTTATTCTTCCCTGCAAGTGAGATACCCAAGAAAAACAGATTTCCAGCAGACCTGAATGAAGATAATACTTGTAAATATAATGAATGCCTTTGCTATTTTTAGTATGGTATAATGAATTTAAAAAATGTGTCGTATCTTTGTATTGAAGCACCAGTCTTGGCTACTTGTTCGCATGCCCCTCATCTCAATTAGTTTCTTCCTTTTTGCTTTTCTGTGGACTACAACTAGTGGTAAAATTAATATATCCCTTTGAAGATCTGAATTAAAAATATTTTCTATCAACTGGTATTTTTTGCACAGTTTGTTTTTACAGTTGTTAGGATACTTCCATTCCTCCCCTACTGCCATTCGAGGTTGTTTTCCTGCTATGATTTTGTAGACAGCTTAGATAAAATCTTCTCCCTGTTCTGTTAGGCTTTTTATTCTGTTGCAGGTGTAGCATAGAGCTACTCATGGATTATGTTTGCTTCTCAGTAGATAGAACAAAAAAATACTGGGTGCTTTCTTCTCAGGGAGAGCAGGGAAGTATTCATTTAAATTTTGAAAAAACAAAACACAAAAACTAAGTTTTATTGCATGGAGATTCTACAATTGCTTCCTTCAGTGTTGTGTTTAGCTGCTTCTTGTTATGTTGTAACATTAATTTCATTTTGTTGAATTTTGGTTGTGTAGGCAGCTGTATTTTTCTAAAATCTTGCATATACTGAAGTTGGCAGCACAAGTAGTATAACATCAGATCTTTAAAGGAAAACAGTGTTTCTGCTAAGTACTGAGGAAAAGGAAACTTATTTGTCTTTTACTATATTATTAGCCCTATAGTGTAGTATTTTGCAGTTCTTTATCGGGAGAAACTGTATCTAAGAGATTTTTAATGTTTTCTAGCAACCTGTTTTGATACAGAATCTGGATTTATGTTATTTTTAAACGTTTTTTTTTTTTTAAGTTCTGTCTTTCCTATTTTGTAGTTTTGTTTATTCTGTAAACACGGTGCTAGTGGTTGGTTTAAAAAGAGTACTTTATCAGAACTGCAGACACACTGAGAGAAAAGTTGGACTAATTTTCAAGTGATTAAATTTTACTTTTCTGAAACAGGAGATCAGCAAAATCTCGAAGCAGAAGTCCGTACTCATCAAGGCATTCAAGGTCTCGTAGCAGACACAGGTTGTCCAGATCCAGAAGTCGCCATTCGAGTATCTCTCCTAGTACATTGACTCTGAAGAGTAGCCTGGCTGCTGAGCTGAACAAAAACAAAAAAGCAAGAGCTGCTGAGGCAGCTAAAGCCAGTGCTAAAGCTTCCAACACTTCAACACCTACCAAGGGAAACACTGACACTGCTGCAAGCGCACCTCAAGTGAACAATGTAAAGGACCTGAAGAAAATAAAAGTTGAGCATACACCTTCTCCTACAAGCAGTGCAAATTTGAAGAATGACAAGGCAAAAGCAAAGGCCCCACTTCCGGAAACTAAAGGAGAAAATAATTTAATTGCAGACAAAAATACTAAACAGAAAACTGCAGCAGTAAAAGAGAATAAAACAACTGTTGTAAAACAGCAGCCGGTCACTGTAAAAGAGAAAACCAAACCGAGTACACCGAGTGTAGTAACCAAGGAGAAGGATCGCACTGTTGCACTACCAACCTCCACACTGCCACCCTTGCCTTTGCCTCCCACGCTGCCTGAAGATAAAGACAATGATAGGTGAGTTGTGTCATAGCTTTGCTTTGGGGGGTTGTCTGTTGGCTTTATTTATTTATTTTTCCTTTGCGAAAGGTACATGTAATTCTGTTTGCTGGGTGAGGGTGCTGAAGTAATTTGTTCTTGCTCTTCAGTTAAGGTGGCAGTTACTGGTGAACTGAAGGAATGAGATGTTTAAAATTATTTCATCAACTGTTTTTTGAAAAGAAAGGTTTAGCCTAGGAGGAGTCTTTCAATGAAAAATACACTAGAGATGATTTAAAATTGCTGGTACATAATAGCTTTGGGAATAACGTGTGCAAAATTCAGGATTTCAAGTTCAGCACAAATGTGGGTATCATTCTGGGGAAAAGATGAATTCAGTACCGATATCTGAAGGTCTTAAAAAAAAAAAAAAAAAAAAAATGTTTGTGGTAAAGATTCTCTTCCATTTGTATGGCAATTATTTTCCTAAAATCATAGATGTGTGTTATTTTCATGTAATTTATTTCGGAGATCAGTATTCTTTATGTATAAGTGAAGTGAGGTTCGTGGTTTGTAATCTGTGCTGACTTTGAAGCATAAAAATTGGACTGTAGTGAAGAAAGTCAGGTCTGTAATCCAAATGTCGCCTGAGTTTAAAGCTACATTGAGTCTCTTTGTTGTCCTTACAGAGAATACTTGCTGTGGTTTGTGTTGGAAAACGATGCTATTGGGCTGTAATCGACCATTTTTCTTTGGTTTTGGTGATGAAATTGAAAAAAGTTGCTTTTGGTATTACTTATTGTATTACTGGTCTCTGACGTGTATAGGAGAGAGCAACTTCCCACAGCAAGCAAAGCAGTTTCTGTGCATTGAAGTAATAAGTGATTTAAGTTCGATATATGTGTAAACAAGACTGTGAAAGAAATTCAAGACATACTGAAATACTTTATTTCATATTCTGTATCTGTGAAAGTAGTCTGTTTTCTCTTGCTTTTTGTAAATCGTAGTATTTAGTAAAAGTTGTTATAACTAGTGGTGTAAATGCTTCTCTGTCTTTGCCAGCAATTTAATGCACTGGTAAACATTCGGATGCAGAGGGCTTGGTGAGTAAATATAACTTCAGAAGGTATTAGATTTTTCTTAGAAGAGAAATTGTTTCTTGCCCTTCAGTACTCCAGCAAATGTCATTCCAGTTGTTCAGACTTACATCTGTGTGGTGACTGGACGCTTACATTTAAATTTAGAACAAAACCATCCTCTGTAGGTAAACAGGCTTTCTGTTCCTGTTGTTTGAGAGGAATATTTACTATTTTAACTGGCTTTGCAGCATTAACTGTGGTACCATGAAATGAGATTCCACCTGAAGCTGGCACAGGGCTTCTCATTAGCATCTTTTAAATGCAATGCTTTTCTTATAGTTCAACTGCGTAGAATAGTTGAACTACAGTTAAACAGTTCTATCAGCACTGGGCTCATTCTCCTTTAAAAAAAAAAAAAAGACAAAACTTAATGCTTTCAAACAAACTTCATTAGAAAGATTAATGACAAATAATAGGATGTCATTTATGCTCTGCTTTGTTTTGCTTTTAGGAGGTTATGAACTTCAGGTCAGAATGGTTATGAACACAAGTCATGACAAACCTTATGTCGTCAAGGAAAATGATCTACAACTTCTGGGAGGAAGGAGGACCAAGGTGTTTGCCTTGGACTCGGTTACTATGGGGAAATTGTGCCAACAAAGCAAGCTTGATACTCTGCAGAACTTAATGTAGTGTCAGTTGTGAAGTTCAGTAGGAATCTGATAAAACCGCAAACAAGCTACCTAAAGGAACAGCAGTGTTGTGAAACCGCTGTTGAGGATAGCTGAAAGGGAAAACTGTTCCAGTGGTCAACAGTGTGTAGTTTAACAGACCTGAAAAGAAGGCTGCTCTTGGCTGCCCCTGTTTTTGTGTACGGCTTTTAAAATTGTTTCAGAACCTCTCACACGTTGTACTCCCACTAATACTGAAACTTTGAGGGCAGAATTTGTGAGACAAATGCAAATATTTCAACTTCAAAAATAAGAATTTTTCTTGACCCTGGCAATTACTTTCTCTGCTCAAGGTGGCTTTATAGCATGCTGACCATTATGTTTGTGATGAGGACAGCATGGGCTTCCTTCAGGTGCCTCTTTTAACTCAGGCACTGGTATGAGACACTCAAGGGTTTTGTTTTCATGGCAAAGCCTAGTCACAGGCAAAATGTTGGAATGCTTTAATTAAATATATAAAGCTCAGTAATTGCAATTAATGTAAGAAAGAGCATGTGCATTCTCCATGATGGGGGTAGCAAGATCTTTCTATTAACGGAAGTTTCTACTTTACCTACGAGACGAGGTAGATATGAAGTTGTAGGAAAACCTCTCCTCCAGGACAGGTTCCCAGAGAGGGATGCTGACAGTAGAATACTGTGATTTGGCAAATGCAGCTGCCTTGAAAAATACACCCTCAGAGCATAACAAAGTTTTATTAACACAGTGGCAAAGTTTGAAATTTAAAGAGAGAATGCTACCTCCAAAAGCAGTTAATGTAATTACAAAGCATACAGAGATGGTCATGGGTACAAAGTTATGGGATATACTATAACAGCGAAATGTAGCTAAACTAAAGGAAGAAGTTCTGATAAAACAGCCACACCTTTAAAAAAAAAAATAATAATAATCCTGCAGGTCGTATGGAGTGCTCTGAAATTCCCCATTACTAGAGGAAGAGTGTTTCTAGAATTCTCGTTTATAGTACGTGATGTAGGATTACCTTGCAGTGTGTTTGGGGGATTCTCCTCAGGACAGAGATTGACTGTTAGGATCTGTTCCCAGAGTATTTATTTATTTTTTTAAAGACATAGTAAACCAGAAATACATTTAGTCAGTTTTCCACTTGTTTTTTTTTCCCCACTTCATTTGCATGCAGATCAGTAAGAACATGTTGAATCTGGAGCGTTTCAGCAAATGTATGAGATTAGAATCTGTAAAAGGCATGGTATGGATGCCTCATAATGCCCTGCAGTAATTGTAACCGTGAAACTAGTTATCTCTGGAGAGTAATGTTGTAGTGAATTGGATTAGGATAATCTGCTCTTTTATATGAGAAGTCAGAGTACAGATTTTACCACTGTTGATACTTGGCAGCACCTGAGCTCTAAATATTCTTATTAATCTGAGCCCTAAGAGGCTTGGGGAAAAAGGAAGAAAGAAAAGATCACATGGCAGAAGTCTGGCCTGGAACCCAGATGGGCTTGTTGTTCTTGCTGGTAAGGCTTGCTGTGTCATCCAACTTCAGCTTTCATCAGGAATGTGAAGTCTGAACATCTGATTTCATTTTCTTTAGCATTTTGGTAGTCAGCTGTGCATCAGCCAGCTGTTTGCAAGCCATTTGTAAAGTACAAATTGAATTCCAGCAAATTCTAAAAGCACAGATTTTAAATGTTGATGTGTTAACAGCCTAGAACATACTTTAAGAAACCTGGTAGGTTTTCTTTATTTTAATACAATTGTACTGTGTTCAACATAGTAGCAAAACTGTGCCTTTTTTTTTTTTTAGTAATCTGCGAGAGAATCTTTCAGTGAAGACAGTTAAAGAAGCAGAGAAGAAACTTCGCCATCTGCTTGCAGACTTGCCACTTCCACCTGAGTTGCCTGGAGGAGCAGAGTTAGCCAAAAGTCCTGAAGAAAAGAAACCAGCAGTTCAGTTACACAGCAAGAGAAGACCAAAGTATGTTTATTACAGTTTTTATGTTAAAGTCTATAATGGAAACAGAAGTGATAATAGTTTCTTAAGAATGTATTCTATTAAAACAATTTCTACTTTGTAATGACTTCCTTAATACTACTGAGGTTTTGAATCAAACTGCATGGTTTATTACCATTTAGTGGTAGTAAGGGTTGTCTAGTAATATAACAGGAATATTTACTATTGATTTTTTTTTCCATAGTTAATCCTTAAATATATCAGCTGTATTCTTAGAGATTGTTACTGTTTTCTAGAATATGTGGACCACGACATGGTGAAACAAAAGAAAAAGAAATAGACTGGGGAAAGCGCTGTGTGGATAAATTTGATATCATTGGTATTATTGGTGAAGGCACTTATGGGCAAGTTTACAAAGCCAGAGATAAAGACACAGGTAGGTTCAAAAAAGTAAATGTAATCCTGCACTTCAAAGTCAGTTGTTTTTTATATATACATATATATATATATATATATATATATATATATATATATATATATATATATATATATATATATATATAACTAAATAAAATCTGGTATTGTGTCCCCTAATGGTTTGAAAGTTTTTAGTTGCATTACATGTTTTGTTTTCAATCTAGCTTTTGTCTGAATTAAAAACTCAATAAAAAGACAATCTCTTTCTGCCTTGGAAAATCATTCATCTGTAAAGTTGTGGTTGAAAGCATAAGCTGAGTAATGTTAATTTCCATGTGTTATTTCTAGAGCTTTGATGCTCTGTACACGATTGAGGAAGTAAAGACAAGAGTGTAAATACTCAGGGGAAACAAAATGGCACCCTAGACAGGATGATACAGAATAATAAAGTTTGTAAAAAGGCTGCAAGGGTGAAAGGAGCTGTGCAGGAGATTTAGCTGTTTTTCTTCTTTGTACGCTGATCATCACTAGCTGGCGGTAGGAAGAGAAGATATCTCTGTGCCACGCAGGCTTGAAGTGTTGCATATCAGGTATTTTTCTTGCAGGAACGTAACTTACAAATATCATGTGAAACTAATAATCAAATAAGCACTCACCATTATGGTATGCAGGAATGTTGTCACTGCTTCTAAATAGATAATGCAGTGAAATTTATTTACTCACGTGTGCTATACCTTGCTAGTTTTGTGTTCAATTAGTAGTTCTCTCTGACTGCTTGCCCTTCTGGCTTAATTGTACATGCCTTGAATAGGGTATAATTTTCTACTTCAGTAACTGAAGCACATAGGATCATATATCAGCCTCAGTTCCTTCCTTCTGGTCTCCAGAAGAATGAGCAATGTAATTACACTCTTTTCCATTCTTCACCTGTGCTTGTCTGAGTTCGCAGACTTTTGTTTTTAAGCTGAACTGTCACAGATCTTACTTTTTTACTTCCTTCCTTTGGAGCCATTGCAAATCATTGTTAGAGGCTTCTTTTTGTTGTCGTGTTCTTTGCACAGCTAAATTTCTAATCCCATCGTAACCATATTGGCCTCTTTGGAAAGCTTCAGGTTGTTTGTGTGTGGCAGTCATTTCTTAACCTCTAGTAGAATTTGTTGCTTTTCTGTACAGTTCCAGCAAAACTTCCACTTTTCTATTCAGCCTTGAATTTAAATCCTGTGTAAGGAGTGACATCACGGCCTTTCAGCTACACTTTAACAGGCTCTGCAGTGGGCTTTCAAACCAAGTATGTTGAAGAGAGAGGACCAAGCTGTTCTTTTGGAGACTGGTCCAAAGCCAGTCTCCAAAATGATGTCACACCTTTTAAAAAAAAAAAAAAAAGCCATTCTCACATGGCTTTTGAGAATGGAGTGTGTTTGGATCCATGGTCTGGATATTTCCAGTGCTAGCAGAGGAGAATTTGCACTTCTCTACAATGGCATCTGTCTGCCCCTTAGGCTGTAACAGCTAATGATAAATTTTATCAAAGCATTTGAATGTGTTCTGCGCTTGCAGCACTTGCTCCTTGCACAACTACTTTGTTCAAAATGAATAAAGGTTAGAGTCTGTTTACTCTAATTTTTCAGCTTCTGACGTTACAGTGATCTCCAGCACCTGCATTGTTGTCTTTTCTGGAACAGAGCTTAATGGTGCCTAGAAAATTGCACAATAATTCTTTTATAGAAATTCAAAAGATACGAAGATTCCATTAGATCCTGTGTTATTACTGCTTCCCTTACTGTTTGCTACACCATCTCATCTGTTTGGTATGATCTGAGAGTCAATACCTTATGAGGTTTAAGAACAGGTCTTGCTGCATTAGTAAGATGCTTAGAGACATAACCTACAACATTGGGATCTACTTCCTTCCGCCCTTCTTTATCACAGCCCTAGTTCTTCTCACATCTGGTTTATGGGGCAACTTGCTGTAATTTTTCTATCTGATGGATTGCTGTAAAAGCTCATAAGTCTACTAGGAGTTTGTAAATAACATCCGAGCCTCTTGAGTTCCAATAGTAACATCTATATTCCATAACTTGCATAAGGGAAGAACTTGACTATACATGCTTATAACCTGTGAGCCCTTTCCATTAATTGTTTTTTGGGACCACCACAGTGTGAACCTGAATGTTCACATCACCTTGTCCATGTGTCTACCTTAGCTTCCTGCAGAGATGTCACAAATTATTAGCCCTGATGAATCCTGTTCTGTTGCTTCTGTGTTAATTTCCAGCTGAATTTATCTGGAGACATACTGGAACATTACATATTGCATGTGTGCTGTACACAGTGGTGCAGAGTAAGTCCTTTTAGAGCTAACATAGCTGCGTTGTCAGTAAGCTTCCCCAAAAAACCTATATGGTTGAGCTGGCATACGTTTTTTTAGATATCCTCAATCATGGCTAGATGATACTTCTGCTATTTTGCAGAATTTAGCTTCATCCAGGCCAGCCTGCAATAAAATAAATGAGGGAACTTTCTTCTTACTGTAAACATAGCAGTGACACTTCTGTTTGTAGAAAGTGTACTGATAACTAGTAGGAACTCTTTAGTTGTCTGCCTCGTATCTTAAATTGTAGTATTTCTCTCCAGATACATGCATGAGAATTCTGACAAAATTGTTAGTTATCAAATTTACTGCCTCGGGACTAAACAATTTTGCCGGTGTATTGGTAAAGATGTGATCAGGAGCCTGGGTTATAAGATTCTTACTTTATCAGTGCTGGTGTGTATATTCTCCTGACTGCTGTGGAGTTACAAAATTCCTCAATTGCAGTTCTGCATCGTATGCCCACCAAGAATCAGTCTATGTGATAAGATCTTTACTTTTAGGGAAAACGTATCATCAGAGTTTGTGGCATCAAGGCATTGCATTTATAGGAAAGCACCCTGGTAGGTGTTTTTCATAACATTTGTTTCCTTCTCCAAATTATCTCCTCCCAAGTGCTTCTGCTGCGCCTGGTACCTTGGTCCTTATGTTGACAAGAGACATTTTTGATAAAGGTACTGTGCTCTGTGGCCAGAGTTCCTCGTTGATGTGCCTCCTGCTAGGTGAAGAAGCACCTCAGAGGCACCTCCGTGCCCACCCTTCCAGTCAGGGCGTGTCTTCCATGCCTCTTGTGCCCATGCTAATCTATACAGCACATCCCAGCATGCCAGCAGTAATCTTTTTGCCTTTGCCTTTGGAGGGTTTTTGGGTGCTGGCATAGGCTGTGCCTTTTAGTCCCAAATGTCTTCCTTTCTTCTCAGACAACCTTGAGCTTTACATAGGTGAGGTACGTTGCTTGATTATCTGCTCCTCTCCCTTGAAACTATAGTTAAAGAGGACTAAGAGACCTTTGTTCGCTTCGTGTTGGTAGCCATCTTCTCCCTGAACTTGCTAACGAATGAGGAATGTTTGATACTCTGCCATCTCAGAACAGAATAGCTGAATAGCTTGGCAAGTCTTTTCCTCTCTCAACAATCATTCCTCACTGGGATCTTCACCAGTTCACGTCATCTGGATGGGTGATTAGAACTGATGGCTAACTCTTTCCTCCTTTGTTTCTGATGAAGTTTTCCAGAGGCAGTCACTTTTTCAGTAGGTGTAATAGCAGGGGTTCCCTTATTTTAAGGGACCACTTTGTTGTCAGAAACCTGCTGAGGGGAGGAATCAGTTTGCACTTTTTTTTGACTTAGCAACTCATTTCTGAAACTTTGCTCTTGTATTTTGTATTTGTTCTTCAACATGCGAGGCGCACTCCTTTTGTCAACAAGAAACAAAATATTCAGGAAAGCTTTTTACCTCACTTGGTGGATTGGTTAAAAGGGACTGTTTCGGAGCCTAATTCCTACTTAAGTTAGGTACAAGACAGCAAAGGAGGTTGTGACTGCGCACTGCTATTGGTGGTCTCCTTGTAGAACACCCCTGTTCCCAAGGTTCTCCTTCCTGATCAAGCTCTTGAGAGAGCAGTTCTAAAGGGTTACTCAACCAATACTGCATTAAAATAATATAAACGTTTGAATTCTTTTAACTTTCAGTGCTTGCATTGGGAAGCTGTGGGTGTAAATATATTTATAGGCAGCTTGTACCTAAGAAGAACAGTTGGTAGTAAAACCCCGCGCAGCCTGCTCCAGCTGACCCTGCTGGAGCAGGAGGGGTGGATTGGATGATCTTCAGAGGTCCCTTCCAAGCACAACTATTCCGTGGTAGATCTTCAGGTCTTTGTAAAACATCTTTCTCACTGAAAGACAAGAACTTTCTTCTGCATTCTTAGCTGGGGTGATGCAGTACTCATAAATCCATAGTAGGCATAGGCTTATGTTGCTAAAGCTCCTGCTAAGAATCACTCTTACGTAGGGGTTAATTGGTAGACCTGGTGTGGAAGATCAGGACACAGGTGAGAGATGTACGCAGGAGGAAAATGAGTATTAGAATGGTTAGTTGAAAACTAGTATTTATAATTTTGCCTCTCTGTGTGATTATTTCTCAGCAGTGGTTAATTTTGTTTCTGGTCAGCATGGCACTGATACAGGCACCAAAATGTGAACTGTTTAGTTTTACTATCTCAATTCAGAAATAGTAACAGTTGTGAAGGGTTTTTAAATCCTATAGATCGACTGCTAATGTTTATATTTTTTTATTTACATTTCCTTTTAGGAGAAATGGTGGCACTAAAGAAAGTGCGTTTGGATAATGAAAAAGAAGGGTTTCCAATTACAGCTATTCGGGAGATTAAGATTCTTCGACAGCTCAATCACCAAAGCATTATCAACATGAAGGAAATAGTGACAGATAAGGAAGATGCTTTGGACTTCAAGAAAGATAAAGGTATGTATACTAGCACGGGGTAGCTCTTTCTGACCCTGTTCTTAAAGCAGTAGGCTGCTATGCTGGAACTGAAGTTTCATTTAAAAAAAAAAAAAAGGTTGGAAATTGTGACACTCGACAAGAGGTTATGATTGTGACTTAATTATTGATAAATAGTCCTTCATGTAACTCACCTATGCCTTTTGCTGATAAAAAATATTTTTGAATGCCTTGTGCATAAAAAAACAAAACAAAAAACAAAAAAAATCTTGATTCCAGTTTTGAGAAACATATGTTTGACTGTGACACATGGATTAGGAGACCAGCAACAATGGGAAGCTCTTATATGTGAGTTTTTTTTAGCCTTTTACATTCCTCACAGCATTTTCTCATGTGGAATATTGTAGGCTCAACATTGAAGAGATGTTTCACTCTAGGTGTCAGTCTTGTTTAGATTTTGTTTCATTCCATTTTTTTCAAAATTAGGCATGTGTGTTGAATGATAGAAGGATAAAAGTGTTTTTTCCCCCAATTGAAGGCTTGCTGCATACTTCTGAAGAGATGGCTAACTAGGAACAATAGCTACTTGAACATTTGTTCTGATTTAGTTATTTAAAGTATTATTCCTGAAATTAGCATTTTTTCTACTACATCCTGCAAGAAAGTAAATCATATAACCATTCTGCTATTAACATTCATTTTTTATTTTGGTTCCTTCAGTGCTAAGTTTGGCTTGCCTGAGTTACTGCAACCTCCTTAGCCTGGAGAATCAAGCAAACGATGGAAATTGTGCACTGTTGCTGCACGGTACTCTTGATACCAAGCAGTTTGAAAAAGTGGTTGTTTTGTCTTTGGAGGTTGTATCCTTCTAGCTACAAGTCTTAAAAAACTATCATTCAGGGGTATTTTTGTGCCCTGCGGGCACCTCCATGCATGGGCTGGCTGAAGGGGATGTTAGGAGCGTGTAACCTGTGTTGCTTCCCTGTTCTCCCACCCTGAGTTCCATACAGCATGTTTAGCACCAGTGTGGGTAGAAAACAATAAATGTACTGCATAGGCAGCAGAAACACAAGGTGATGTTGTGATGAGTCAGAAGATGGCTGTCAGAGTTAGACAGGAATTAAGTTCTTTTCCTAGTCTCTTTAGAAAGTAGTATACTTTGAAGGAAATACAGTGTTGACATTTTTTATCATTTCAAAGTAGAAAGCGTCTAGCAAAACATTTTCTCTAGATATGTGTGGGTTCAGTGGTCAGCACCCTCTTTGAACTCTGATTCTGCAACAGCCAGCGTAGGCTTTCCATGTGGTCTTGTACTGAGTTTTAGCTAGGTCTAACCTACTGGGTGAATGAGACCACACTGAGCCGTGACTTAAGTATTAAAGTCTCATTAATTAATTTTCTCCATTTCTGAGTTGTAAATTTTTTGGGTGCATTTCAAACTGTTTCTCATTAATTTCAAATGTATTTTTTGTTTAAGTCTGTATTTGTGCTTTTGACACTGCTTTCAATTTAATTTCACATTCTTGTTTAACAGCTTATTAAAACAATTACATTTTCAGAAAATGGCATGAGAAGGGGCTTCTCTGGAGATACAAGAATAAAATTAGCTTTTGGTAGACTCTTGAAAGCATTAGCATGACAATAAGACTACTATTATGATTTGTCTCTGAAAACATGGAAGCTGTTTATTTTTTTTGGGCTCCTGCAGTCTGTATTTCTCTAATGAGTAGTTCATTGTGAAATGGAGATTTATAGCTGAGTAGTTGTGGGCAAGCTGTAGCCTACGCAGGGAGTGAAAGCAAATGGGAAGTTCAGTCATTTTCATGGTAAACCACTGTGAACACGCAAGTGGTAGTGACATGTCTTATTGAAGTAGAAATTACAGTAGAATAAGTGTTTTGCCCTCTCATGAACATGCTTATGCTTAATGTGTGTTGTGATTATCTTAGCTTTGGAACATAGATCTTACAAAACCCTGCTGAAATCTCATCTGTGAAAGTAGGGAATGAGACCATTTCTACTAACACACGTTCCTCTAGTTAGTAAAGTTAACTTTGGTCTAAGGTTGCCTGTCATCTCCTGACCTGTTACTCATCTACTTGTTCACTTAAGTTTGTTTTTTGTTCTTTTTTTTAATTGGGATTTTGGTAATTCGAAATGCAGCATATGTAGTAATTAAATATCAGGCACTCTTTATACAGTGCGTACTTTTAAGGATGCTTTTTAAGATGGTAACTTTGGTCTGCAAACCAGCAGTGGCTTGTACCACTTTGTCCTGATACTTTGAGCTGTGATATACAATTTGTCACTTAAAAGCATGTGTCTTCCTAACTTTTGAGTATCTGTCTTTGATATTTTCAACAGTATTTTACTTCTAAAGAAAGTGGAAGAAAAATGTATCTTCTGTTTTACCCTGACCAGCTTGGGATGTAAACTCAACAATAGCAGTAGCTTGAATAGAAAGGATTTGTTTTATTCTCTCTGGGCCAACCATGAGAGAAGGAAATGTAACACATTGGAGCAGTGAGTTTTAGGTGTTAAGAGTATTTTCATCAATGGAAATGCAGCACAGCATTTCACAGAATCACAGAATCACAGAATTTCTAGGTTGGAAGAGACCTCAAGATCATCGAGTCCAACCTCTAACCTAACACTAACAGTCCCCACTAAACCATATCCCTAAGCTCTATATCTAAACGTCTTTTGAAGACTTCCAGGGATGGTGACTCCACCACCTCCCTGGGCAGCCCGTTCCAGTGCCTCACAACCCTTTCAGTAAAGAAATTCTTCCTAACATCTAACCTAAAATTCCCCTGGCGTAACTTTAGCCCATTCCCCCTCGTCCTGTCACCAGGCACATGGGAGAACAGGCCAACCCCCACCTCTCTACAGCCTCCTTTAATGTACTTATACAGAGCAATAAGGTCACCCCTGAGCCTCCTCTTCTCTAGGCTGAACAAGCCCAGCTCCTTCAGCCGCTCCTCATAGGACTTGCTCTCCAGGCCCCTCACCAGCTTCGTCGCCCTTCTTTGGACCCGCTCAAGCACCTCGATGTCCTTCTTGTAGCGGGGGGCCCAAAACTGAACACAGTACTCGAGGTGCGGCCTCACCAGAGCCGAGTACAGGGGGACGATCACCTCCCTAGCCCTGCTGGTCACAGTGTTTCTGATACAAGCCAGGATGCCGTTGGCCTTCTTGGCCACCTGAGCACACTGCTGGCTCATATTCAGCCGACTGTCCACCATCACTCCCAGGTCCTTCTCTGCCTGGCAGCTCTACGATTTCCATCGTAGTGTTTATAAACTGGAAACATACACAGCTTAGTAGTACATATATGGATCTGTTGTGCTGAAGATCTGAATTTTTTTACCTTTATAGTCTTCAGTGAGTGTGAGACGTGCTTGATGGTAAAGTTGGAGAGTGCTGTTACTTATTAGTGCAGCATCTTGATTCTGAGGCACAATCCTGTTGGGTAGAACAGGTGTCTAGGGTTTGGTAGGAACTTGTATCTGTTCTGTATGTTTCTCTAGTGGTTCATCTGAGTATAGGCTTTTTCTTCCCCTTCCTGTCACTCAGAGCTTACACATAAGCTCAGGGATGGGACACATGACTCAGTTTGCATTCTGTCCTGTTTATGTTTATCTATGTATCAGTTGACTACATAAATAAAAATCTGCTGAACATACTGTTAAAATTCCCTCTGCTTCTCTGAGGACATAAAGCCTTATTTGGCTTGATAACACCAATGACCGACTTGATGCCACTCAATATTTTTCTGAATCACAGAACTCTGCTTATTCTTATTGAAAATGTTCTCTCAGTGAGCTAGTACAGGAGCAGCTGTGGGTGTCAGTCTTTCATGGTAGTAGAAGCAACCTGATACTGTTGGTACTTGTGAGCAAATCTGCTGCCAACTGTACTCTTCCTTCGCTTTTCCTGTTTCTTTGATTGATGGTAGTTCAAATTAACTGGGGTTCCTATCCATGACCTTCAGTTCATGTCTTTTTGTAGCTGGGTTTGGAGCAGGATTGTAATTTGCAGAAGCTCTTCATCCTCTTTTAATATTTTTTTTTTTTGTCTGAGAGTTTGTGTTCTGTTACCCATGCAATAGTGACTGAAGAAAGCAATATTTGTTTAAAACAACTATTTGTCAAGTATATTTATTCATAGTCCTACGACAAATTAGTTGAACCATTTTGTTGAAGTTAGCAAGAGGAGAAGGCCTTTCTTACCCTGGGCTTGTCAGCTCTGGTTTGTGTTCTCTTGATTAGCCTGTCATTCATATGACCGGAATTTCTTAGGTCTCTCTCTGTTTTCTTTGTGCACCTGAGGTGGTCCTCTAGTGCTGAGTTGCCTGTTTATCAGCTGTGAGCTGTTTGCATTTGATCAACAGTCTAGTTTTGGAACTGCCACCATCTCTTTTTGCTAAACACACAATACCTGCCCTACCTGCCTGCTGTTGTTCTGAACATAAAACCACATTGACACATACAGACCGGCTTGTCTTCGTCCTTTTAACTGGAAGAGACAGTTTTCTGTTGCTAACCTGAGGGAAAATGTGAAACTTGGCATGTGAGACTGTGATCAAAAAATGTCTGTTTAACATTGGAGCTTTTTGTTTGTTTGTTTTTGTTTTGAGCGTTTGGACTGTGTGTGGCTGTTCCTATAATTCATTCTGAAATCTAAGCTGTTTTAGCAAGGTTCAATTTTGTATTTGCAGTACAAAAACCAGTGGACCCTTTTAGGCATGAAGGCAGTATCTATCCCAACGGTACTGTACTGCACTTATCAAAAGGACTCCAAGTCTGTGGTACTTTGTTATATGACTAGCTAGTTACTTTCTCATAGCCATCAAGGAGTACTTTGTCTGAAAGCTTGCTGTTTGGAAAGAGTCCGTGACAGCAATCACGCAGTCAGAGTGCTTGACTACAGGGTTTTCTCTACTCCTATTGGAGCTAGTTTTAACTGAGCTTCCTGGGAAGCCTTCTAGGAAATGGAAAACTCAGTGAATACATCCTACCTGGAGTCATTCAGAAGGGTTTAAAAACAAAAACACTGCATTTTTTTCTTTTAGTATTACAATGCAAAAAGAGAGACATCTGTGGAAGAAAGACTGGTTCTTCCTGTAGGCATTTGATGTTGGGCAAGACACCAAGGGCTGTTTTTTCTTTAGTTGCTGAGGGGTCATGATCAGCTTGCAAGGTGGAGTTTGCAAATTTCCAGGAGTTTGTATCCTCTCCATTTTGAGGAGTTGTCACTGTATTTCTGCATGTTTATTGGTGTAAAAGGGTCTTTAGGTGTCAAAATCCCTCCGTTCCCATGCTTGTTTCTCTTCCAGTTCAAGCAGTCTCAAATTCCAGTTATCCCTGCTGCCTCCTCTCTGATCCTCTTGCCTGCAAAGCAGCTTGTTGGAGCTTAGGCTGTTACACACAATGCTTACAAAAACAAACAAAATTCAAATTCAGAAACCTCTAATGAGCTTGCCTTGCTGCTCCTGAAATAGCTGATAGAAACTTTTTACCCAAAGTCTTCACACTGTAGCTAACTTATCAGTAGTGTGACTGCCTGGGTGATCCTTTCCATTTCTGTATGCTGTACTGAACTCTGGTTTGGAATGAGCTACTCTTCAGCAGAAAAGTTCTGGTTTTATTAGACTGTTTGTCTGAAGCAGAAAGACTTGTTCTGTCTTGTGATACCTACATGGAAAAACAAATATGGCAGTGCTGCTTTCTTTAGTCTTAAGGTGATTAATTCGCAAATGTCTTTAGTATTTCTCGAATTAGTATTAGTAAATAGGTTTTTATGACCTAAGTAGAAAGAAAAGATGCATATTTGTTTTTCTAAAAGCACCGTAACTTCAAGGAATTGTTGGATGATTTTTTCTTAAATTTTCAAGCTTTACTTTATACAATTGTGTGTTTATAACTATCTTGGAATGCAGTATATCATGAGTCCTGGAGGAGGAATGTTAAGGAAATGGAAGAGTAAATATAATCCAATTATCTCTAATCAATCAACCAAAAATATCTATGTATAGCAGAGAAGAAGCTGAGGAGTCTTATTAGTGAAATGAAAATCTGTCCAACAACTCGGCACTGTATGCACCACTCATAGAATGAGGCAGGGCTCCCTTTTCAGAACATTCTTATTTTTCAGGGTACTCCTGTAATGCACATATACAAGGATTGAATTAAGATTATCCCATAATAAGGCATCTCTGGTCTCTCAGTTCCTCTGATCTGTTTTTAATCAGACATTTTGAAGAACCCCAAACACTTTCCCCATTACATTATATTTGGAAAATATTAGCTTACAAGCTGTTATCTTTTCAAGTTTTTGTATTATCCCCCTTCATCTTCTGCTCTAAGCTCTTGTATCTTGGTTTAGCAATGGATGCGTAACTTGATGTCCTGCTTTCTCAGGTTTGTTTGAGTTGATGGCAGTCTGAAAACAGACTTACGAATGCAGAGTATGTTTTTTGAAGTTGTTTGGCCCATCAGAAAATGCTTCATATATAATAGATTTTGTCATATTTTGTAGACTTATCATGCTGTATGCATAGCTTTCCAGCTCATTTAGTGTTCTGATTGAGAAAACTTTATTACTTTTAGAGATTCATGACTAGAAATGTATGAACAAGAAAAGGAGAGGTGTTAATCCTTCAGTTATTCTAAACCAGTATCTCACTTTCTGACCCTTATCCATTTTAACTAACAAAGTGGTCTAAAGGATGAGTTTTTCTAAGTGCAGACAAAAGGAGTAAGGCTAGAGTTGTTTCCATCCAGGAACCTCCATTATTTATTTTGTACTTCCCTAATAAATTCAGCTGTTATCTGTTATCCCATATTCAGAAGTAGGCAATATTCCTACTCTTCAGCTGCTCCAGCTGCTGCTCTGTCAACAATAAGGATTCCTATTATCTTGGTAGATGAAGGAATGGAGATCAGCTGCATGTATTAGCAAAGGAAAGTGGGCAAAGACACAACATCCCTTTCAGTGCTCTCTTGCAGCACGTGGAAATGGACTGTAGGCTGCCTGCTGCCACACAGGTACTATGCTTGTCAGGGAGTGCATGTCTTTAACATACAGCAATAAAAAGAGTAACATTAAAGCCAGATAAGTAACTGTGGGATCATTTGAATTGCATACACTCTCTTGAAACGCAGCTTTAGATGCATTTATGACATTGCTTCCAGAAATGTGGATATTGGGCAAAGTTAGCATGAAACAAAAGAGAGTCATATTAAGACATAACCTCCAAGCTATCGAACATAAAGGGATGAGTGATTCTTCTGTCTGCTGTTTTCCTTTTTGAGGAATAAGTCCTTGTGGCATTTATATGGTGCTTGTTGCAGTTAAACTAAAGGGTGCTGTAAACTCAAATTAAGTATGCTGTGATAAGCAGAGTTTAGCCTATGCACAGTTCACTCCTTCTTCCTGAATATCTATAGTTTCTTTTCCTATTACAAAGGATAAGACCACCTGAAAACACATGGAGATTTGAAATGATCAAGCAGAATAAAGCAATTGGTTTTGGTGACTACTGACCTCTTCTCAGAAAATGGCACCACGTTTGTCTAGAAATAAAATAGCAGGAATTTCACTTCAGTTTGCTTGGTAACCTTGCAACTATGATCTCTTCCAAAAAAAATCAGTTTGAATAATACTGAGAATCAGATTTGTGATAGCTAGACTGCCAAGGCTAGTACACTAATTTTAGTAGTTTCTCATAACCAATAAAGAAGGTTAAGCTTTGGCAGTTTTCAAGTCCTAACATTGTTTAATATGTAGATAGTAATGCATGGGAATAATGGATCTGTGCATTTGCCCATGCTCTGTTAAGGGAGGAACTTCTTTTATATTTTTCCCCTCATACTGTTCTAGTGTAAGGTTATTAATGAGAGCTGCAGAGAATACAAATACCTGGATGTCATCTTCCAGGTACTACTCTGTTCTTTTTATGAATTGTCTCCATTGTAAGCTTTTCTCCTTTCTCGAGGGTACCAATGTTGTTTGCCACGCATAAATAGCGGTGAAAAACCCTGGGAGGTAGTAGACAGAGCAGGAAATTGCTCAAGGCATGGAGCCTGCTTTGCATATAAAAGAGGAGACTGGGTTCAGCTGACTGAACAGGTCTGAATCCCCTCTGACCCTTCCCAGTCTTTGTCCTTGTCATGTAGCCTGCTGCTGTGACAGGGTTAATTTTCATTTGTATTCCGGAACAAGGAGATACCAGCATCATTGGCATTCAGTTTTGTTGAGCTGACATCTTCTGAAGGGCATGCCTAGATTATTTTGGCACTGCTGCATTAGTATCAGGTGCTTTGTTTCAAGGGACTTTTAAAATCTTTCCTGCTTCATCCTTCAGCAGCTGTCAGTAAGGTTGACCTAACGCCAGGTTGCTAGCTGTCTTGCTTTCAAAGACCAAGACTTGGAGCCTCTGTGCTTAGGCTGTGCTGAACTGGTGAACTGCACTGGTGAGCTCGTTTATGCAGATATTGAAACTCTGCAGACTTCTGGTTCCGTATGGCTTAACACATCTTTCATTCCTTTTCTTGAAGTGCTGGGATTGGGTTGTCCCTGGTTGGTTTACCTTCTGCTCTAGCTACTCTGAGCATATGGATGGGTGTTTTATGACCAGTGTTTTGCTTTCTCCATACAACATACAGCTGGACAAGAGGTGGACTAAAAACTGAGCCCTGAGGGTCTTAAGCAGTGGTCTGTAGTTCAGCTGCCCTTCCCTGATCTCTGTCTCAAGTTAAACATTCACTGTGTTTTTCCTGTTTAAGTGCTGAATATCAGATGCAGTATAAAGTTGGTAGCACTTTTTCTTCTCTTTTTAGCTACTATACAAGAAACTACATCAGTTTGCTAGAATTTGACTGTGTGCATGGAGAAGTTGATTTCTCATTGTTGCTTCCAGACTTCTACTAGCTTCTGAACTGAAACTTCTTGCTCTGGAACTAGTGCCTGTAATGTGCTCTTGTTGGGCAGAAACTTTTTGCTCTTCAGAGTGGTGGCTTTGAAATCTTTTAGGGAGGTTTCTGAAAATGGAAGTTAAGTGAAAGTTAAATGAAAGTTAAGAAACCCTTAAATGTGGTTTCTGCATTGCAATCAGTGCTCTGCTCATCTGCATTGTCTCTGCCCCAGAGTTAAGGAGAAGGGGAAGAATTTGGTATTAAACCAAGTGCATTGTGCTGAGGATTGCTTATTGCTGCCTCAGATGTGCTTAGCACTCTTCTTCTTTAAGAATACCAACATACATCAAAGGCTCTTGGCTTTAATAGGTTTGTTATGGAATAACACAGACTAATGTGAGATAAGGCCAGATTCTTTAATGCTTAATGTACGTATGTGGCAACTTGGGATATGAACTTCATCTTTGTAGAGCTGCTCTTAGTTCTGCTTTCTCGTTTTGTCTCGTCTTGTAGGTACTTCTAGTCTAAGAAAGACAGGTTTACTTCTGACCCAATTCCACACTGAAAGCTTAAAGAATCCAAGTCCAAGAATCATGACAGATGAATTTATGCTGTATATATTTTGTGTTTATGGATTTCTCCACAAAAATTATAGGGAATACTAAGCCAGTTAAACTTTACAAAATGGTGGTTTTGATGGAGAGCTATAGGGAGAGTGAATGTCCATTTAAGTCAGAGCATTATGTTGTAGAATTACATTTGCTTTCACAAACATTTGGTGATTAGAATAACTGCTTACATGAAAAATGCAATGTTATGAAAACATTTTACTGCACTGCATTTCATTGTTAGGATGGAAAATGAGGTGCAGCTAAAAATATTTCAAAAAATGTAAAGAGTTGTGTGAAAAATACTCCCGACTTTCAAAAGCAGGGAGCAAGAATGTTTTTGACTGCTGATAAATCTGTTTTTCTGTTTCATTTACCCCTTACCTTTTTTTTCCTAGGTGCATTTTACCTGGTGTTTGAATATATGGACCATGACTTGATGGGACTGCTGGAATCTGGTTTGGTTCATTTTAATGAAAATCATATAAAGTCCTTTATGAGACAGCTGATGGAGGGTTTGGCCTATTGCCATAAGAAGAACTTTTTGCACAGAGATATCAAATGTTCAAATATTCTACTAAATAATAGGTATGGATATTGCTTCGAGTATGTAAAAACTTGTATGTCAAGATCATGTTTAAATCTTTTTTGTAATCTTTATGGTTCACCTGTTTTAAGCTGTTAGCCAATTTTTTATTATATAGATTGCCTAGCTTCTTTAAAATCAATTGTAAAATACTTATCTGGTAACGTTACTGCTTAACAATGCTGCTTAACGGATCCTGCAGTTGTTTTTCAAACTTACCTGTGTCAAAATAGCAGGATTAAAACTTGAATCTGCTAGGTCAGAGTATGGGGGGAAATTATCTAAGTTCAAATACTATAAAACAGAATTTTAGGAAATAAAAATACATTAAAATAGAATTTTAGGAAATAAGTGTTTGTGTATTCCTTTTACCATGTCATTTCAAAATGAAGCGTGGATAGACTGGTTCTTTGTGGCAGGAAGTCCTTGTTAATTAGTATAATGCTTTAAAAGGATATTCGATCAGGCATTCTCAAACATATTTTGGCTTGCAGTCATTGCTGTAATCAAATGGAGAGAAGAATTTGTTCCTTTTTTTTTTTTTTTAACCACTTGTGATTATAAGCCACGTTAATAAATATGCTTTCATTCAATATAAAACAGAAGAACTGCAATTCACTGTTAGGAAGGCTATTGAGCAAGATACAGTGCTTTGTTACTGTGTAAACCTTTTGCTTCTCTATCTTGAATTCTTACACCTGTATCTCAAAGCAGATAAAGTAGAAGTACACAATACATAGAGAAGGACAGCTAACGTGGGTAAGAGAGTGGAAGGAGACGGATTATAAAAACTGTCACTTCTCATTTTAAAGGGGATGTATGGTTGGAGTGTGAAAAAATATGAAGCTAGCAGATAACATTAATGCAGAACTCCTGTTCATCACATCCAATGTACTAAAACCAGGGAATAACTGTAGAAAGTAGCAAGAGAGAGGCTTAGGGCAGATAAAAGAGTATCTTTACAGAGCAGGTAGTCAGCTTCTGGAATGTTTACCCAGGTTTTCAGGGTAGTGTTAGGAGACTCTGAAAGGGATGAGACAAATTCATGGACAGGATCATTAAAACCTGCTGAGGGGAATAGACAGGAATCTCTAACTCAGTGATTATTGCTGGTGGCTGAGGGAAGGTGAGCCTCAAAGTGGCTGTTTCACACATTCTGTCTAAAAATCTGTTCATGCCACTGGTGGAGATAGACTACTGGGCAAAAAACATCAGGGATCTCATTTGGTAGGGTCCTAGTTTTATCCCAGGTTTCTCCAAGTTGAATTTTTCCTTTTTTCCTCCTTTTCTTGCTTAAATTAATGCTAGACTTCTCTTTGCTGTGGTTCCCACCACAGCCTTGCCAGATTTCTGATAAAGGTCCTTACCTTACACGTGCCTCCACATCACTCACCTTGCCCATTCACCTAGCCTTGCTTGGCTGTTGTTCCAGTGATGTTGCTGTCACAGTGCGGCTTTAGGAGTTCAGAACCTGAGGTATAACCTGACATTGGAGAAGTACAGTAGAGGCAGTGCTTTTTGTTGTGCTGTGCTCTCTCAGCTTCAAGATGAACAGTATTTTCCCCCAGAATGTCTTTCTGAGCATCCTCAGAGGTTTCTGCTGGAAGAAAAATGTTTGTAGTTGATCTGAATAATTTTAAGCCAGTGCTTCTAAAGTCCCATTACCATTACAACCTGAAGCCAAACACATGGATTTTATATCTTTTAGTGGTGCACTTTTTGTCATTTTTTGTCTTTGCTCAAAATTTCTTTGATATTCCACAAATATGATATCTGAGGAATAAAAGCACAGATTTGAGGGAAGTATTTATTTGCTTTTGGGGGATTTCCATTAAGTGTTACAGCAGTTCCAAACGTACATGAGAGGAGAAAAATGCAATGGAAACTGCAATCCATACATCTTGTAATCACAAAATGGTCATTCTTGCGCACATCAGCAAGTCTTGTCCTGATTTGGTAAAATAGCCAAAACTATAATTTATTTGAAGTCACAAGTTTTAAGAGCTCATAATTACAGGAGGGAAAGAAACAAAACCTGTAACATTGCCAAATTTGTTCCATGTATTGAAAAGCTTGCAGATAGCTTTGTTTAAATCATTTCGGCTTTATAGATGGTGCAGGCTTGTCAGCATCAAGCCTTGTATGTGTTCGTGCATCTATGCAATGCCCTTTGACTGTGGCAAGAAAAAAAAAGGGCAAAGCTCTGTATCTTCTACTCTTCACCCTGTGTATGGGTAAACTCAAGAAGGGGTTAGGGTTTGTGTCATTCAGCAAGTTGTCTGCTGGCAAAAATAGAAGCCCTTATCTGTTCGGTCACCCTGATTTGAAGTCTGTATTTATACTTCACAAGAGCAAAGCAGGGCTCTGACTGCTTCCTAGAAGGAAGTAGGACTGCTTGTAGTTGTTTGCTGTACAAATACTTCTGCTAGCAGTACTTTAACTGTCAGGCATAACAAAACAGCAGTTTCCTCCTCAGTTTTACGTTGCAGACTTGATTTGAATGCTTAACAGTACGCACCCTGAATTTTGAGAAGCATCCGCTGATGTAAATGCCATTTGATGTCCATGTCTAATTTTGCTTGCTTTTCTTTGATATCAGGTGGATTAGTGTATTTCTTGATTTAAGAGATATATAGATTTTTAAGGAGTGTCTCCTCATTATTGTGCTTTGGTGAAGATCAGCTGCAACTGTTTAAAAATTTGAAACTTCACCTGTTTTTTGGGGAGGAAATTTAACAGGATTAACCACTAAACAATTCTTTCTGTTTTCCACCAGAGGGCAGATAAAGCTTGCAGATTTTGGGCTTGCTCGGCTGTACAACTCAGAAGAAAGGTAAGATATAATTACACTGTGAAAAAGCATGGAGAAGTTTGATTTCTTGCATAACTGAGTATTATGAGGGCCAGAATTTTTGTTTGTTTAGAGGAGATACTGTACTGTAACATAAGTAGTTGCTTAAGAGATGGAAAGGAAGAGCATGCGTACACTGCATACAAACACAAAGCTCTCTTTGTGTAAGTGTATTACCTTTCTGAGTATTCTGGATTCTGTAGAAAGCAGCCATATATTGATTGGAAATGAAGAGCTGCAGTTCTAAGTAGGTTGCATCAATATGTAGCGTTTTAATTAATATTAGTTTACAGTCCTGTAAACTGAAAGCATATTACTTCTTTGGTATACCTAGGAAGTGTTTACTTAGGAAAAGAGAATTTTTTATGTTGACAGAAATTCATACGGTTTCTTTTTAAAAAGCCTAACTTCTGTGTAAGATTTAAGCTTAAATTTGAAAAGGTTCATTGTATTCTTTAGGCAGACAGTCCTGTTGAATCTTCTGGAAACAGAAATACAAGTTTAAATAAAAGCTATTCTGAAACTTCTTGTGACTTGTGCTTCTGTTGTTCTTGGCTTCGTTATACTTGTACTCCAGGAAACAGGTGCACAGTTTTTATGAATAAGAACTTTAATATTTATATTGTAATGTCATGTATTTGTTGTTTGGAATGGGATTTTCAAAATTCAGGCTGAATGTTTATTGCACCAGTAATGTGTATGTTGGATTACTGGATACAGAAAATATTAGCTCTTTCAGCTCATTTTGAGTTCTGCATGCCTATTTTGGGAAATAATGTCTGTAGCGATCATTTTATGAGCTGTTTTCTCACAGAGCTCTGAGGTTCTTGAACATGATAGTGTTAGTTTCGCTGTCTTCTGAACTGTTATTTTAGGAACATATGCTTAAGTAACAGTTATGGAAACTGTTGAGTACAGTAGCAGGGTAAGATAATCTTAAGCAGCTGGTGCACAATTCAGTTTTGTTTTGCATGTACTGTTAATAAAAGAGAGTGATACCATCCTACCTTACTATTTTAGTCTGCACCAAATCGGCCTATTTTTTTGTTGTTGTTTTACTGTTGATGGTTTTTAATGTCTTTTTTTCTATTAATTTAAATTTTGGTTTTAAAACCACCTGTTCACTAAGAATTGAAAGAGTGAAATTGAATGTATTTATAGTGCAAATAACAGATCTTAGTGTGCATGAAAACAGCAATGTTATTAGTTCATTATATATAAATGAAACCAAGATTAAAATGTAGTTACGCTAGTTAATCAGATTGCTGGTAGAACTTGGGAGGATAATTAGGATCTCATTAGTAGTTTTTTGACAATTCTTTTGTCATTCATTTTCCTTTTGAATAGCTTCTGAGCTGCTGTAACAGAAGTAATTGATGAATACCAATGAGCATATAATAATTGCTGATTACATTAATGTACTTTGTTTTACTGTTAGAACGATATACTGTTCAAAAGGTTACAGAGTTTAGTGGGAGCATGATGGAGAGGTAATAAAATTTTAAGTAAATTCCCACCAATCGTTGTAGTTGCTACTTTAAATGTTATTTTGGAGGACTTAATGTGTTTAGAGTAGGAAATGTGACAGATTGTATAAGAAAACAGCTGTTCAAACAAAAAGCACTGTATACTAACATATATGTGAGTGGCTTATCTGTAGAGAAAGTTCATAGCATGTAAGCATTTTGTAGATGAATGTTTGTTTCAGAGACAAATATGATGAGTGATGGGATCGTTTCTAAAACCATGCTATATTTAAAAAAAAAAAAGACATTCTTTATGAAAAAGAGATGGGTGATTTTGCAGAAATAATACGTGAACCACTGAGTGTGTTGTAAGAGCTTGTTCAAACACTGCACATAATGTTACTGTTTTCTATTTTGGAATTACTTTGTATTGCTAAACATGAATTATTAAAACTAAAACAAGTATTTCTGAATCATTTCTAAGGCACCCTGTTGAAAAAAGATATTAAAGACCAAACAACCCCACCACCACACACACACAACATCTGTTGCATGACTTCCATTCTGAACTGTTCTCGATGCTGTATCTTGGCCTATCCACCAAAAATGCATATCTAAGACAGTGGAATCCTTGCCTTAGTGTGAGGATGGAAAGGATTGTTCACAGTGACCAAAACTTCTGGTTGGAGCTGTAGAGAATTAAAAATGTTGAAATATAGAAAGATATTGGAAGAGTTCCAGGCTTAGAATTCAAAGTTTTTGAAGGACGTAGATAAAGACTTCATCTTTTTTGGTTTTATTTGCAGAGGGGAGAGTGACTTATTTCTCTTTTTCAAAATGCTTGTAGAGATCCTATGTTCAGTATTCTAATAATCAACAATTGTCAAGAAGTTGCTGATTTTATCCAAGCAGGTCCTTCTCTAGAAATTACTAGCAGTATAATAGATAAACAGTATTGCTGTTTAATAATTGAGATACAGGATTCACGTAGCATCAAGATGGCTAGGTGCTTATATATGTTTATTATATCTTTGAGGTGATGTTTCAGGTTGTCATTTGCTAGCCTTGGTCAGATGGTTGCATTTGCTTTTATGCAGTTGCAACTTTGCAGAATTAAAAAATAAAAATGGAAGATTGCACTGTCTTGTAGCAGCACCACAGAATTAAAGCCCTCACTTATCCAGAAATGAGATTGTAGTAAAATGATAGTCCTCTTTTTTGCTCCCCCCAACAGCCGACCATATACCAACAAAGTTATTACGTTATGGTATCGGCCTCCTGAACTTCTGCTTGGAGAAGAAAGATACACGCCAGCTATCGATGTCTGGAGCTGTGGGTAAGAGTTTGGTACAGAGTGTAGCAAGCAGAACAACAAGCTGGAAGTAAACATTAGATTTTTCTGTGGAGTTGGATTGAAAGCCGTAATGACGGAATTGTGTAAAAACTGTTTTACAGCTGCATCCTGGGTGAACTTTTTACAAAAAAGCCAATATTTCAAGCAAATCAAGAACTCGCTCAACTGGAACTTATAAGGTAAATAGGCACATAACAGGTGCCTCATAAGCTGTCAATTTGTTCATGTTAAAATGGAGATAACACGCTGCTAACACTTATAAAGACTTGATAATCACCATGAGTGAGATATTAGTGGTTTTCAGGGGCATGTAAAGTCAGTGGCTTATGCTTGGATGCGGATAAGTGATTTTTGTGAGTATGCTGTTGCCCTACCAATGTACAATTGATCAGTGTTTTCTTGGTAGTGCAGCTACAGTTGCCTATTACTGAAGTTGTAAAAGAGTGGTCAAAATGCTGACTTTTTTTTTTAAGACTGTTAGAACTTCCTTGTGGCAAATCAAAGGGAAAATGTAGATGACAAGTGGACTTTGGGAGCAGTAGGTTCTTTGCATGCTACTTGCCTTGAGCTCTTGCTTTAGGACTTCCACATACACACCTGGGCTTTATTATTTTCATCAAAATATTCTCCTCCCATGCAAACTACACTTCATGGAGGAAAAATTTTGTTTCCTTCATTATCTCAGTAAATCTTTGGGTATTATGTATATTAATTCCATGGACCAGAGCATGCTTCTTTCCTTTTATTCAGCAAGCAAAAATTGTTCTTGATTCTGATATCATAATTGACCTCATAAGTGAGGAGACGTCCTCTTCCTAGAAACAAGGGGAAAAGAGCGTGAGTCCTATAGAACTTACAGAACCTGAAGAGTAAATGGACGAGTTATTAAAAAAAAAAAAAAAAAGTTACATATAGAGATGTTTTCCAAAGTAGATTAAACAATGCTGTGTTTCTGTGTAATATTTTACTAGGTCTCCTGGAAAAATGAAGTTTTTAGGAGGTGCAAGACATAAGTAATCATTCTCAATGTGAGAACTGAACTCTTTGAGTTGAATTTTTGCTTTTGCCCGCTAGATGGCACTGAAGCCCATAAGAATGAAGTTGTCAGAAGTGAAAATTTAAGACTTTCTTCTGCTGGAAGGAGGTTGACAGCTAGCTTGCTTGTAGCTAATTTTTCTTCATTGTATTTAATGTGTTGATACTCTGCATTTTAGGGCTGTTAAAGTGTAATATATCAGTTTTATTTTATCAACAACTCAATCATCATCATGTTACAGTCAACAATTCTACATTTATCCTTTCCGTTATCCTAAATTACTTTTCAAAGATAGAGCAGAAAAATCCTGATAGGGAAAAGATAAAATTCTTATTTTTTTTCGCCCTGCAAGGTTCATACCCCAGCAAGCATGAAGTCAGTTTGGCTTGCATAGCAGTAGGGGCATAATTAGTCCATCATTAGGTCTCTTGCACTAGCTGTTTAACTCAAATAAATGGAAGAGGGTGAACTAAGGAAATATATTTGCAAGGTATTATTTTATGACTGCGTTTGGCAGAGGTCTTAAGCCTTGCCTGGTATGGTAAACTGCCTCTTCTGATCTTCTGCTTGGAAGTGTGGTGTTGGTCAGGCTGTGCTAACTGTCCTTGGCTGAACAAAACCAGACAGGGACAGAGTGCAAGGAATGGGTCTGGCCGACTCCATTTGTGGAGACAGATTAGGAAAAAAAAAAAAAAGCAAGGTTTTTATCTGTCCAGTCATACTTTCGCCCTTAGGCCTTAGTGTATTTAGTTTTTTGCCTCTACATCTTCTGAGTCAACTAAATTCTCTTCAGTTTTAAATTTGTGAGGCCTGCTCTTTCAGGCATTTGGTGTGTCTTTCTTCACTGACATTGGGAACTAAAGGCTCGGCACTCTAAACCTGGGGTATCCAATGCTCCCGAGCCTGGAGGATGCCCTGGGAATGGGAGAGGGTTCAGAAGCCATTTTATCCTGTGAAGGGTGGTTGCTGGTCCTGGATAATTCACTAGTATGTAATGGCATTAAGCCTCGGAATGTAGAGAAATTTTAGCTAAATGAAACTGAATATTAAAATCATTTTTCTATCCACTGTATTTTTAAGAATAAAATATCAGCTTTGTTTACTTGTGGTTTTTGGATCTCATACCCTTTTTTTTTTTTTTTCTGGTGCAGCCGAATTTGTGGGAGTCCTTGTCCAGCAGTGTGGCCTGATGTTATAAAATTAGCTTATTTCAACACGATGAAACCAAAGAAGCAGTATCGTCGAAAACTAAGAGAAGAGTTTGCTTTGTAAGGATGAAGAATTGGTTTAGTCAATTATAGTAGCATTAAGTTTTGCTGGAATCTTTATGAACTTCACTATTTTCTAGAGACTGGCTGAACGTAGATTAAGTGTGAAGAAAACTGGCTTTAGATTCTTATCCTTCCGAAGATACCTGCAGAGTTCTTATTAACCCTTATTAAATAAAGCTTCAAGAAGGGGGAAGAAGGCCCTAAAATTTCAGCCACCTGTCAGCTTTCACCTAAGGAATCATTTGTTTTCCATGATTGGTACACCTGCTTGCTGCCCCTGTCCACAAACAGCTTGGAGTACTTAATTATTTTTTATTAGGACAACTGGTTACAGCTAAATATGCAGTCTGGTTAACATTACAGTTTTTTGGGTCATAAATTCATTCAGCACAGAAGAGTTTTCTGAACCATGTATTGTAAAATACTACCACTGGGCTGTTTTTGTGCAAAGATCACACATGAAAGTTATGGTAAACAGCTGTATATTTATTTTAAAGGGATTGTTCCCCTCCATCTACTTTGGGGTTTGGGAAAAATGCATCATCCTGTTTGTACTAATGAGATCGACATTTCTAAAGCAGTAGAGTTATTTTGTTTGGACCAATGGAAACTGCAACACCTGTTGTGCTAAATTCCAAGATGTAAAGTAACAATATAGTCTTAGTTTAGTGGGTTTTCTTGGTTTGGTTTTGTTTTAGTAAGAAGAATGTTTCAAGCAATTAAATCATACAAAGATAAAGAAACACAAATAGCTAAGGGTAATCCAAGGTGAACTTTTTATCTACCTCTTACTACCAAGCAAGGACTTAACATTAATGATCAGTTATTTTGGAGGGGCTGTGTTAATTGAAATTTTGCACTGAAGTGTGTGATTCAAAATACAGTTGTGATGCTTTTCTCCATTTTGTTTTTTTGTAGCATCCCACCGGCTGCATTAGATTTGTTTGATTATATGCTTGCTCTGGATCCCAGCAAACGCTGCACAGCCGAACAAGCCCTTCAGTGTGAGTTTCTGCGAGATGTGGAACCATCTAAGATGCCTCCCCCAGAGTAAGTCATTGCTTGAGTTGAGTTGTTCCTTACCTTAACACAACAGGAACATGCACTGATTTCATTGAAGCTCGTTGTGTTTCAGTTCAAGAGGCTTGTGGCAGAAGAAAATCAACACATAGCATTGGCTAATAGTGATTCTGCATGAAAATAATTATGCAGATCATGATATCAGTGGCTATGAGGATCTGAGACCAGTCTGATTCGCTATTCCTAGAATTAGTGACTGAATTAGTACCATTTAAAAAAACAATCCTCTTACGCAAATGTCTCTGAAAAAACATAATTTCGCTTTTATTTCTGTTTATCAGTGTCTATTTTTTCCAAGGTTTCTGGGGTCCTTCATGAATCTGAATTGTCATCTTTGATGGTAGAATGACACTGGGCATAGAGTTCTGCAAAAGTATCTGAGAGTTAAAGTGAAATACTGTACATGATTTCCTGTGACAAATGAGATTCTTGGCTTCACAAACAGAAGTGAAATATTTTTTGCGTTTTTTTTGTTTGTTTGTTTTTTTCCCTTCTCTGTATGTTTTTGAGTGGGAATATATTGCAAGGTCTAGTAGGGTTTTTGTAGTGACCTGATTGTCACTTCATTTGATACAAATAATGTTTGAACCAGCCCCAAGGAAAACAATGGAAAACTGACATGATCTGCAAGTTCAACTCTTCACTCAAGATAGCTGGCTAATGATAGAGCATTTAATAGTTTGAATAAATTGTACCTTCAAGGCAGCTTTTGCTGATTTCTTTCTAATTAGTTACCAAATAGGGAAAACACTTAATTTTTATCTAAGAATTTTATTCAAAATCTTTCAAGACTTACCTGTTACAGGTTTTCACTAATGGTCCTGATGCATGAGATAAAGCGTTTCTTTCATAATCTGAATACGATTACGTATCATCAGTGGCTGAATATTAGTAATGAGCAATGTTAAATACTAGGCTATTGATTAAAATCTCAGAAACACTTTGTGGCATGTTGCTTATATGCGTTTTGAAGTAAGTGAATGGGAAGAAATTGTTACATTTTTTTTTTCCAGGGGTTTGGTAATCCATCTATTGTAGAAGCTGATACAGGAAAATTTGGAACAAACAATTGGCATCCTTTTAAGAATTAAGAAGCACACCCACATTTAACATAGTCTTCAGGGGAAAGTGTTGACTGTTCTCAAGAAAGAGTAAAGTTCCTTTTTGGGAAGGAGTAGCTGCTCATTTAAGAAATTGTTGATTGCAAGTTGTGACAAGTTCCTATATTGTTCCAAATTGTTGCGGACTAAATACCCGGCAGGTCTTTGACCTGCGATGTGAAGGGAGAGAATAAAGAAAACAGTTGTCATAATTTCCTTTCCAATGGCTCTTGTCATCTGACACCTCATTTTTTCCGTGTTCCTGGGTGAGAGAACTGCTCAGACAGTTATCAATTTGTAATGGGAAAGCAAAAGGCACTATTTTAATGCCTCTGTCAGTATTTCCATAAGCTATAGGATGGGGCTCTGTGTTCCTCAGGAGATCAGAATTGAGATGCCTGCAGGGAATAGTAATGGAAGGACAGAACCCATAGCAGATGAGTTGCACAGAAGATTTTTGCCTTTGTTTTTTTCTGTTTTAAAGGACTGGGATATCCCTTGTTCTTCCTAGCATCCTAAATTTGTTAGTGTTAAGTACTATCTATTCCTGCAACTGTTTTTTTCCCCTTGTTTGCCTGTGCTGTATGACTACAAATAATGGAGAGCCATGTCTTTTTCTGTGGACAAATACATCTTGGCAGATGTGGTACTTTTACAAGCAAGAAAGTAATGTTGATTGTCATTGAAAGGTACTTGTTCTCTTTTTCTGCCAGAGGGACCTGCGCTTGTGAAATAGGCAGCTGAAAAAGAGCTTCATCCAAGAAAGAGTTCTTGAGATTTTGCTGGCTCTGGGTGTTTTCTGATGTATTTCTAAATTTCAGCAGGTTCTTCTTTACAACGGTTACATTATGTATAATTTGAGCATTTATTTTACCACTGTGGTTAAAAAACACTTTTAAAAAATCCAGGATAAAACTGATGATCTCTTATTATTCTTTGCAGCCTTCCTTTGTGGCAGGATTGCCATGAGCTGTGGAGTAAGAAACGCAGAAGACAGAAGCAGATGGGCATGACTGATGACGCAACAGCAACTAAAGTCCCTCGGAAGGACCTGTCTCTAGGCATGGATGAGAGCAGAACCAACACCCCACAAGGCATGCAAACTTCTTCCCAACTCAAAACTCAGGGCAACTCTAGTGTAGCACTTGGTCAGTAAATATTTTCGGTTCTTATAATTACCTTCTACTTGGATTGCACCTCTAGAAATTTTAGGTGTTATTTTCAGAGTACTGACATCTCCTGGATTCTTGAGGGAGGAACGGCATTGTAAGTTAAATCTTTTGTTACAAAAGATTTGCCTTCATTTTTGGAAACTGGACGTTCCTTTTAATTTTTATTTAAATTTTTGATTTGGCCAGTACAACTACTTTGTTCTTTGTTTTGAGAGGATTTGATCTCTTGCTCATCTGTAGATCTTCAGTAATCCCACTAGTTAGCTGCTGCTCTAAGTTCCTCACAGTCTACAGAGATGGAAGGAGTTTTATTGGTATTGATAAACTGACCCAAAGGCAGATTTTAAAAGAATCATCACTTCAAATAAAACAGATTGCCTCAGCATGTTATGTTAGTCTTCAGCTTTCCAAGTTGTTTGGGCTGAACCAACACTTAAAAATAAATAAATAAAACCCCAAATAACTGTTATAACAAGAAGTAACCACCTCTGTAGCTTGCACAGACACTGATTCTGAAACATAACTGAAGTATTTTGCTAGGAGACTAATATTGTGAATATAATATAAAAAATAAAGTCATGGTCTCCTTGCATTGACACCACTTGAGATAATACAAAGTGGATACCTGATAAGTTTAATTTAGATCATTTGTAGTTGTGCAAAGTGACCTTAAATCCTGACAGTGATACAGGAGTTCATCTGAAGAAAAACAAGAAATGGATTCACTGAGCATGAAAATTCTTTAATACTAACCACGTTGAGTTAACTCTTTATTTAACAGCGCAGAGTTCCAAATATGCTGTGAAAAGATAGAAAAAGTATTTTTTTGATATGTTATTGCAGTTTATTGCTTCTTGCTCCTGTTCATCCTGTTTCTTACTCTAAGCTGGCTGTGAGCTTCTGCCGCTCATTAAGCTTAAGCTAAAGCTTTGGCAGCATTTTCAAAGATGACTTTCTGTAGCCCTTACAATTTTTTTCCCCACAAATGAATAATGTGTAAGAGTTTAGTAAGTCCAGAGGATAATAGTTATTTTCTTTCTGCTTTTATAACATGTAACCTGTTGGTGGTCTAATGCACTTATTAGTCATTAATACTAACAATGCAAAATAAACTAAACAACTAAGGAAGGAATCTTTCAGATCTAAAATACATTTGCCCATAATTACATAAAAAATATATCTAGGGAAGACAGAATTTTAATTTTCAGGGGAGCTTAGACAGTTCAGCATAGAGATGTATTAAACTAAGCAATTCCTGAAACCCTTATACACCTTAGTTAAAATCATCCATAAGGCACACTACAGGACTCAGTGTACGTGCTGTATGCATGCTTAAAGCTGCTGCATTTTTTTTCTGAGTGCCAGAAAGAGGTTTAAAATGTTGTGGATGAATTGCTAATGTTCTGCTTCGTGAATGGGAACCCTGCCTATTGCATCTTAGAATTTAAGAGGAGATATGTAAAGCTCATTAATTTTGTTCTGGTAGAAACTGCTAGGTTTCCCAGAAAACAGTTAGCTCTTGGACTTGAAAGTAGCCAAGAATATAAAAATAGGTAGGTTAGTTACCCTTCTTTGGACATTTTCACGTTGACAAGCTTGGAGATGTTTGGATGTTATTTCTATTACCACCCTCAGATGTCACAAAATCAACTGTTAAGCATGACATCTGGGTGAGATCCAACAGGAAAAGGCATCAGAAATTATATTTTTTTTTCCTCTTGCCAAATAAAATATGGTTTTATTTTTACATTTATATAAATATATAAGATCTTTGAAATCCGTGGAACCTGCCAGAGTAAGTTCCAAGTGCTTGCATCCTGGTGCATATCCACAAGTAGGGTAATGGGTTGTGGGTTTTGCAGCGCTTTCTGGCTGTTCTCTTCTTACTTTTGCGAGGCAAGTACTTAAGGTTTTACATGTATGTGACCATTTCTTCAGGTGTGGCTTTGAATCTGCCATGAATGAATATGTTAGGGTATCAGCAGACAGACAAGGATAGAAGAGAACAGAAGGTGTTTGCGTTGACTTGGGTTACAGAAATTCAGAGAAATACACACCCACTTTTTAATTTTTTACTTTTCCCAAAGTTATCTGCTTTTGGGGTATGCTGAAATTCATGGCGCTTTGCTTCTCCTTTCAAAATAAACTAACACAATGGCTGTTTGAAATTAAGAAAATATTTCTAAATTCTGACTTCCTTATTTATCTATTTTCCCCTGCATCATCATAATTTCTTCTTGAGTGTAGCAAATAAATTCAGTTCTGAAAAAAAGAAAAAAAGATGGATATCATCACAAACCTGCATTTTCCTGCTACTCAGTGATTGACTGCTTGTCCTTCAAACTCTGCATGTGCTTTTTTGCATTTATACTGCTAGCTTCTGGGTCACCTACAGCCTGGTCACTTGAGCAGGTGTTAGAATCCAGATGCTGAATTAGAATGGGCCAGAATGTGACTGGAAATGCGTTTTGCAGATGGCCACTTTTTAACAGAGGGATGTGATATGTCAAAGATAGGAAATTTTGTGGGGATTGGAAATTTTACAGCTGCCTAAAGCAGGTGGCCTTAAGCCCCAGCTTAGTTGTACTGTGGAAAATTGAGCTCCAGCTTGATGTTTTTCATCTGTCCAAGTGCATGTGTGCACCCCTTGGAAGTCACTTTCTTTATATTGGATCTTACTATTCCATTTCCCATAGAGACTCCCCCCAAGGCAGTTAATCTGTAAAAGCATTCCATTTCTATGTTGTCCAAAACCATGCTTTGCCAGTTGTGTCAGCCATGCTAGATTAGTCTTAATTTTGAGTTTCTGAAATATGAAAGTTCTAAATAATACTTAAAAACACCTTTTTTGTCTTTAGCAAAAACAAGCACTGGACAGCAGTTAAACCAGAATGAAGTGGCAATCCTGCTAAACCTGCTACAGTCTAAAACAAGTGTTAGTTTGGCACAGTTTGCCCAAGTGTTGAATATTAAGGTAAACCCAGAGACTCAGCAGCAACTAAATAAAATAAATCTTCCTGCTGGAATTTTGTCAGCAGGTGAAAAACAGTCAGAACAGCAGCAGCAGCCGCCGCCGCCTCCGCCACCACCGCCGGAACAGGAGCCTCTAAAACAGCCGACCGTCACGCAGCCTCCTGTGCCCCCTGCTCAGCTGAGTCAGCCCAAAGTCGAGACTGACGCTGCCCAGGCAGCCGTACAGAGTGCATTTGCTGTTCTGTTGTCTCAGTTAATAAAGGCTCAGCAAACAAAACAGAAAGATCTGGTGTTGGAGGAGAAGGAAAACGGATCAGGAAATGAAATGTCGTTACAACTCAGGCAGCCTCCAGAGCCCACCACTCCTGCGTCTGTCAGCCGGGACGACGTGGAATCGCCAGCACCTGGTTACCCGCACCTGATCAAGTCACTGTACACGGCTGCTGCAGGTACTGGCGGTCTGTGGGGCTAACCAGCAGGTACCTTGAGCAGTGGAGACACAATAGTTTGGGGAGTTAACGGGTTAACAATACCGAGTCTGTGTGAGTACAGGAGAGGTGATGACATGATTTTGTCACTGATGTCTGCATCATTTTTTCATAGTCACAGCTTCAAGTGTTAGCCACTCTGTTTGTTTTGTTCCTTTGGTGGGAATGTAAATGCCTGGCGGGACTTCATGTCTTACTGTCACAGGAGGCATGCAGGCAGAGTAAAAGGTAGTCCTCATTCAACGAGATGCTCATGCTTTTTCTGATGAAGCAGTTTAATTGATTGTTTTTTATGGGTGTTTGGAGTTTTCTCAGTGGTCCTAGTGTTGGAGAAGACCAGCTTCTCTTGCAAATTCGTAGCTCAGGCTTACTGGTTTTGACTGGGTGTTTAGGTAAAGCCTGTTTTGGGGAGGGGCTATTAATGTTTTTGGTTTTAATGCAGACCAAAGCAATTTCCTAGTTTCAGATTCTGTAGGTGGTTGCCTGTAATGATTGCTAACACACATGGCTGAAGGTCTCAGTTGGCTTATAGTAGTGACTTCCTTAGTTTTCTTGAAGTCTAGAGCTCCGTTTTTGGTTGTCTTGGGCTGCTATTTCAGCTTTATTTTACTGTGGTTTATGCATTGCTCTGTGGTGTGTGCTGCTGTGGAAAGAAATATTCTGAAGTGGTTTGGGAGTGTTTTTCGAGGGTTTTTGAAGTTGTTTTGTTCTAAGCCCTAAGTTTTGCTCCCTGAAAGGACATCCCTTTGTCCCTCGAGACCTTTTTTAATGTGTGTGATTTGAAAATCTTTTCTGTTTGCTGTTTGAACTTACTAGTATTTATCTGTTGCTTTAGTGATTGTTTTTCAGAGGAGCTTGTGCTGTTTAACTTTGCTTGGAAATCTTACTTGGAGGAGAACCCTGCATCGCTTTCCTGAGGCAACCAAGCTGTTGCCTTTTCCAAAATAACCTGTCCAACTACTAGTAAACGTTACCTCAGTTCTGATTAACTTCCTAGTTACAGACCTCTGTCGTGTTCTGGGAAAGAGTCATTTCCTTTCTGGTATTGTTACTGGAGATTTTTATTCCAAAGCTTTCCTTTTTTATCTGCTTAGGTCCAGAGGATTTGGTTAGGCAGTCTGAGATGAGGCTTCTGAACCGAACACCCGAACAAGAACGCCCTCGGATCTTGCCTCCAGACCAGCGACCCCCAGAGCCACCAGAGCCTCCGCCTCTCACTGATGAAGACCTTGATTATCGGACAGAGAACCAGCATTTGCCTATAAGTAACTCTTCAGGAACAGATCCCCACGCAGGAGTGAAAGCAGCTCTTCTACAGCTGCTTGCTCAGCATCAAGCTCAGGCAACGACGGAGGAGCCAGTACAAACAAGTGTGGATTACCAGGCTAGAGACTCCTATGTAACAGGCCCAGACTACAAGGATAACTTTGGATCGTCTACCTTCTCCTCTGCCCACTATGGCAGTAGCGATGGCATAGGAAGCGGGTCATCGGGAGCGTTAGAAAGGAGGAACTTCCTCGGAAACTCGGATATTCAACCTTTGGATAACTACAGTACTGCTTCATCTCACTCTGGTGGTGCCCCTCCTCCGTCTGCCTTTTCAGAATCCTTTCCCAGCTCAGTAACTGGTTACGGAGACATTTACCTCAATGCTGGCCCCATGCTATTCAGTGGAGATAAAGACCATAGGTTTGAATACAGCCACGGCCCAATCTCAGTCCTGGGGAGCAGCAGCGACGCTTCCGCAGGGCCGGAGAGCACTCATCCTCTGCCCGCCAAGATGCACAACTACAGCTATGGAAGTAACTTACAGGAAAACCCCGGTGGCCTCGGCCACATGCATGGACAGACTTGGACTTCCCCTGCCCAAGGACCTGGCTATTCCCAAGGATACAGGGGACACATTAGCACATCTGCAGTGAGAGGGCGAGGCAGAGGATTACCATATTGAGTATCTGTTTTTCCTCAGGCACATCATTTTTATCTGGAAAAACTTTTTTTTTTTCTAGCTGCAGTTTAAAGCAGCAGTTCAACAGACTTGAATAATGTTAATTCAACAGCTTTATTTTTATGTGGAAAAGGGTCTTGCATACAGTAGGAAAAATTAAAAATGCTTAAAACTCATGCTGTCTGAAAACTAGATGAATTGATTGTACATGTTCACAAACTCTAGTTCTGAATTTTATTTTGTATTTTGGCAGTTTTAAGTGGATGCTAAATTTAGGGACATCAGCTTTTTATGGCACTCTTTCAGATCTTCTGAACTATGCACATTTGTGCTTTTTTTGTAAGTTTGGACCAACTTTTATGTAAAGAAAAAAAAAGATTTTACAACAATCAAAGCAGGGCACTGATTTATTTGGTATTTTTCTTTTTACAGAACTACCTTTAGTCAAAGGTCACTGTCAGTCTTTGCACTGCTTTCAGTGTTATTGTGGAAGGTGTACTTTGTGCTCATTTCAGATAATAAAACACAACCTTTCTCTTGATGCAAAATTTTATAAATATTTGGTCAATGTTATTTTTTTTTCTTTCAAAAAAAAAAAAGGAATGGATGTTCTGGTAAAATGTTCTCTCCATCTCCCAGGCTTGTTTATATAAAAACTGTTTTACTTGAATGGTAAGTGCCTTAACATGTAAGCTTAAGGTGTGCGAAAATTTGGAAGTACTTTATGAATCGATGCGAAAATAATACTTAAACCTACGTAGTTGAGATGAAAATTCAAATAATAATAATAGGAAACTCAAATAGGTCATAACCTTGTGCTGTTTACTTCATGTGGGCCAGTTACTTAGAGACCTAATCTTATCTTGATGAAGTCATAATCTCCAAATTGAACTTCATAAGAAACTATGAAAGTGAGGAGAAAAATGAAGAGTAGTTTTTCCTCAGCTCCCCCTTGGAGTTGTAGAAATTGTGTGACTTCTTCTGCCAAATAAACTATGCTTTATATGTCCTTACCAAGTGGTGAAATAGTTTTTCCTCTTAAATGTCAACAGCAGTAATTACTTTACTTTGTGTGAAAAGCTGACACTGTCTTCTTTTTACCGCAAATACTGCATTATGAGAAGTAACCAAGGGCAAAATGACCAGTATTAAAAGCAACAGCGAAACATTTTACACTAGCTCTAAGGCTCTGTAAGCTTGTGATTGTGCCAACTAATCGTCTTTATATCTGCTGTTCCACTGAGCATTTCAGTATTGGAATTGAGTCTCCTTCAACAACTGATAAAATGACTGTAGTTACAACTCTTAACCAAGAGCCACTCCTCATTAATTACAATGTCCAGCATGTTTTCTTTTCCTTCGACATCAAGTGGTCCCTCTCCTGCAGAGAGGAAGTATGATTATATTTTGCATGTACGTAAAAAAATGTTTTAAAGCCCATATTGGAAATAATTTTCCAACTGATTATCCAGTTGACAAATCAGTACCTTGTGTAACTGAGTGTTTAATTATTACTTTTTAAAAAGTAAAATTTCTACTTACACTATTACAAATGTAGTCTCATCGGTGACTTTTTGGACTTTCAGAATAGAAGCCAAAGTTGTTGGTGTTTTCTTTTGTTTAGTTCAAAATCCTGGTTGTCATTTATGGCTAAGTACCACCTCGTAGAGCATGGAAAAAGTCACTTTGCTAAATACGTAGCATTTGAGAATCTGGAAGATGAAAAATGGAGATGTCCCTGTAAGTCTTGCAGTTACCTTTACTAGGCACAGGAGAATCCTACCATCTGAAAATAAAATCAAGCTGGACAAATACTTGTGACTCAAATAGCCTGTGCATAATACCAGAATTTCACGTGTGAGTGACCATGTGCTGGGTAGGTTTCCTTGCGCAAGGACATCCCTGCAGTGTTCTTCTGCTAGCAAAATCTTAAAGGCAGAAATCATGAGTGTCATTTAGGTACAGTGTCAGCTGAGGCTTTTGTTTACTAATTGATAAAAATATTCTCTCAGTGTTCAGATATACACATTTTTTTCAAAATCGGGATAGATTTTCAAAGCTCTTAGTTGTTTTCACTAAAAATTGCAGCCCAGTGTTACGTTACTGCAGTTCAAATGTAAATGTTTGCTAAAAAAGCAGGTAAGTTCAAATGGAAGGCAGACCTCCAAGAGGACTAAACGATTTAAATTTCAATACAAAAATATAAGGAATTTTTCTCCTGCTTTCTTCCTGGAGATAAATGTTCAAGTCAGTCTCCTCTGAATAAGTGACTGTGGTTTGATTACTGACTAGCAGTAGTCTGATGTTGCATCATTCCACTGAAACGGATTTTAGTCTTCAGATACAAGAATGCCAGCATGAGTATTCATGTCTATGATGAATACGAAGGAGATGGAGTAGACAGTTGACTTCCAGACATATCAAAACCAAAACTTGCACACTGTTGCAGATGCGTATTGCACGATGAACTTTTTCCCAAATTCAGTTTAAGGATCACTAGCCTCTGAGTGAAAACTCTATTCCTGGGGCAGCAGTGTTGGCAATAATGTGGAGGCAAGGTTGGCGTGTTTCCATATGTGATAACTACAAAGAAGTTTTCCCTTCTCTGCAACCCAGGGGATCTTGGCTCTTTCACCAACTCGTTCCTCCTGGGCAGGCAGTGGCTGTGCAGTGGCTGCAGGCAGGTGTGTTCTGCCCATCCTTGGCCTGGGGGCAGCCCGTGGCAGGAGGGTTTCTCCCTGCGGCCACGCTGCCCCGGCCCAGGAGTTGCATCTCAGCAGGTGAGCAGCCAGGGAACGGGCCAGGCCTATGGACTGCCCATCCACGTTCATTTGTACTGGGCCTGTGTGTTATTTATCAAATTATCAAAATTTCCGTAATATAAAGTCACAAGGTGCTTACATCAGTTCAGAATTTGACCTTTTTGAGCAATTTTCACTCAGCAGAGTGAGTCTGTCCTAGCATGACATCTTACATCGCGTGGCTGTTGCATTTTTGATGCAGTGGTAGGCATTCTGAAAACTGCATTACTTTTTTGTGGAGCTGTGGCTTTTGTTACTTTTCCCCTCATTCTGTTGGGTTTACGTTTTCTGTGCTGCAATTCCAAAGTGTGCTACAGAGACCTGGACACTACATCAAAAAGTAAGTGTTGTGTGTTTGTATTTCTAAATAAACATAGCAAAATACTGTAATAATAGACTATCGAGTAGCGAGTATTTCATTATTTATATTAAGTGGACTGTAGCCATACCAAGAGGAAGGATGTGAGCACAACTGGACTGCTATGACTATGACTTAGGATGCTTAGACTCATAGAACAATTAAAATCAGCCAAAGGAAGAGGAAACAGCTTTTATCCTGGATTGCTAGGTCTTCTTACCTGGAACAGAAGGAACAGTGTTTGGGGAGGGGTGTGAAAATACATGTATCTTTAAATGTTAATATAATTTCTTGGAAAAGAAATATAAAACGGCAAACTTACATTTTCTTACAGTTCTGTAAAACTTGGTCTGTTAAATCTTGCCACGGCAGTGTAAAGCACTTCCTGCCAGCAGAGGTGCCAAGTGCTGTAATGTTAACTTCAAAAGGTCGGAGTGCTGCTCTTTCACTTGGTGCTTGTTGCACCAGGAGGTTTTGGTGTGGTTGGATCAGTTTAATTGGTAACTGCGTGGTAAAAACCGAAGCACTGAAGGTAACTTACGTAGGATACCTCTTGTCTGCAGGCAAATTCAATCTCAGACCATGAATTCCGTTTCCAAGAGAGAAAATCTCGGATGTATTTCTTGCGTTCTTGTAGCTAATAAGACACGCAAGCATTTTACATAGCACGTTTTTCCAGGCTATTCTGTTGCACCGTTGTTTTTTTTTGTTTGTTTGTTTTTTGTTTTTTAATATGAGGAAACTGGCTATTTCCCTTCTTGATAGTTGTGGGATGTTCTTCATACATGGGCGTGTGTTAAGAAATTAAAGAATCACAGAAAAGTGATTTGAGTTCTGTATTTAAAAGATGAAATGACCTTGGTTAAAGTTGAACTAACTTTTGCTTATCAGGGTGAAGAATACTTTATTGCAGGAGTTATTTCAAGACAGCCTAATTTAATATAATCAAACTGTTATTCTTCAGCTTGCTTACTCTTTGTTATTTTAAGCCATCTGTATATAAAATGTATTGTGTGGCCTGTAAATAAAATACATGAAAACTTGAAGTTTTTCGTCGTTTTCCCTCTCTGGTTATCAACTGGCGTTTATAAAGAGCTCTGGGTTGAACTCTGAATTGTTTTTTCAGTATTCAAGTGAGTGTGATTTTCAGCATGTTCAAATATCAAAGGTTATTCAAGAAAGTATATCCCGCTCTGCTCCTTTTCAGAAGGCAAGTGCAGGGTGGTGCGAGTGCTTGTTCTGGAGGGGTGCTCCAGGCACAAGGCGCAGCGCTGCACCGACCACCTTAGCAAGGAAGCTTCAGCAAAAGCAGGAGGCTGAGAGGAACTGGCCCTTCCGGGGGTGCGAAGATGCTGCTGCTTCAAGCGCTGCTGCAGCTGGAGTGATGTGTTCAAAGCAGTGGGAAATCGCAGACAGACCCAGGTGTTTTCAGTACCTGCTGGTACGCACTCGGTGCTGGTGAGGCGGCGTAAATCCAGCACGACTTCAGCAACCGCGCATTGAATGCCTGAGGCCTCTCTGCTTTTTTCCTGCCTTATCTCCTAATCTAATGAAAAAGAGCACCTCTTTCAACAAATGTTGTTTCCATCCAAAACTAGGCTACTTCCCATATCTTCCATGCTTTTAAAGTGTGTTGGGCAGACTGCTGCTCTCCTCGCACCAGGAGCATGTTAGCAGAGGTGGAAGAGGTGCGGTGAGAAGTTAGGCAGGTCAGAGCTTGTCACGCTGACGTCAGGCTGACAAAAAGCCAAAAGGATCTCATTTTGGAGAACATACTTCGGCAGCAGGTATAATGGAAGCCTGGGTTTTTCTTCAGATGAACAATTTAAGCTGTACTACCCAGGATGTCGAATCGGCATTAGGTTGCTTCTAACAGGATTAGGTTGCTTCTATTTGTAAGGCGTTTTGGTAAGCCATGAAAGACCATGGAGCAGAAGGCGGTAGCATTCACCAAACTCCCCCATCACCTGTAAGACAAATCAGAGCTCTTGGCAGCTACAGCAAACAAGTGGAGAGAAATTTTCATTTGACAAACAAGGAGAACTGCTGCTTTTTCCTAGTCGACTGTGTTTACTTCCACGAAGCTTGTGGGTTCTCCCTTGAAAGCCATTTGCTCATTATGGCTGCTTATTTTAGGCTTTTTTTATTGCCCGTGGAGAGAGCTTGCAGTCAGCATGATTTAACTCAGGGAGAAATTTGAGTTTGATGTAATTTTTCTTCAGGTATAGCAGCAGTTACTAATAGGCAATACTCGGATCACTTTTCACTGCCCAGCTTTGGTTCTGCTTAAATAATTCCTCCGAGGGTACTTGGGATGTACGATTGCTAGGGCAAAACCTCAGAACGTGATGAATGTGTCTCTAATATGGCTTCTTCCAAAGAGGCTGTGTAAAGTTTTTTTTCAACACTTGAAAATGTGGTGTGAAAAAGACAGAGCTGGGTAGAACATGGAATATTTTGGTTACAAAACCCGCTCTTGGAGCTGCTAGTACTCGCGTAGCAGGCCTGGCAGCCACATGCTGCCTGTAAAGTAACTAATGGGGATTAACTGGCTTCTGTGGTTAGTGCTCTGCCTGTGCTGACATCTGCCTCTGCTCTCCCTCTCTCCTCATACCTGCTGCAAGACCTCCTTTGCTCAGCTGCCATGTGTTGCTCCTGCCAGACCTGCTCTCATCACTGTCCCCTCTGTCTCATCTGACTGGTGTGGGTAGGATGTGGGCTTCTGCAGCTGGGATGGGACATTTCCCCTCACCTCGTCTTTCAAAGCTGATCAATCGCTTGTGCTAGAATTTCTGAGGGATGTTAGTTTTCTCCTCTGTGAAGAGTCATAGCAGGAAAATACTGCATATGCGGG